TGTCTATGCCATCTCCTCTGCTGGAGTTGTATATGCCATAACCCGGGCTTGCAGCCAAGGTGAGCTGAAAGCCTGCAGCTGTGATCCCCACAAGCGGGGCCGCTCCAAAGATGAAAGAGGAGAATTTGACTGGGGAGGTTGCAGTGACAACATCAACTATGGGATCAGGTTTGCAAAAGACTTTGTGGATGCCAAGGAGAAAACAGTGAAAGATGCCCGGGCCCTGATGAACCTTCATAACAACCGCTGTGGCAGAACGGTTAGTAGCACCATCTCTTAGGGATAAAGCAATAGCCAGTACGTGAATTATATCAAATGGCTTATATATTGGAGTCAAAACCAGTGAGAACACTTTCTGTGTTGAAAACCATCATATGCACAAAACACTGCCATCTAAAATTTAAATCAGAAAGTGGGCTGGAGTTTTATAATTGGGGTGCTGGAGACTGGGATGGGTGGGCATTACCTTACTGCAGCCTATAGGCCCCAAATAGACTAAACAGAAAGGGGGGGGGAGAGAAAGCAAGGTATCAAAGGAAAAGGATCACTGCTTAAGTCTCCTCACCTCATTTCCTATTGTATTTAGGATGGGGAGAAATGCTGTTTTATACAAATATGCATGCATGTAATGGAATGTTTTCAGCACTATCAGAGGACTGTTTTTAGAGCTAAACTGCACATTCATGTGTCTTTTCCATCCATTGGAAAGTAGGGTGTGGAGCTATTTTTTCCCCATGTGAAAGAGCACACAAGTGAAGGGAGGCAATACATCCCCCTTTCTCTTACTCTTGTTCAAGCATTTTCCTCCCCAGTATGATTTTAATAGTGGAACTAAGCTGAGATGGGAACCAAAATATCCCAAGAAAATAAAGGAAGGAAGGGGAGGAGGAGGAAGAGGAGGAGGAGGAGGAGATTGGATTTATACACACCCCTTCACTCAGTGGATCACAGGGAAGGAAGGGGATGACCTTTGCTGTCCTAACTTACATTCTTCATATAGAAATGGACACCCTTAATGCATTTTATACATGAACACAGCAGAAATGTGAATATAAGCTTCTGTGGACGAACTGTAAGATGCTTGTTCCAGTCAAGCATTCCCCAGTTGTGTCCCTATATAAAAGCAACATCCATCCAGGTAGAATTAGAATTAGTGACCCTTCCAGCAAGAGCATTTTCAGTGTGGTTGTTAAAGGCTAAAATCCAGTGACAGCCTAAAGACTAACAAAATGTATTCCATATATGAGCTTTTGTGAGTCACAGCTCACTTGTTCAGGTATCTGAACAAATGAACTAGGACTTACAAAAGCTCATATTTGGAATACATTTTGTTAGTCTTTAAGGTGCCACTGGAGTTTTTCTTCTATTTTGAAACAATAGACAAACATGGCTACCTCTTTGCAATCATTAAAGGCAGCCTCGGGAGACTTTCCATTGGGGTGAATCTTCCACGGCTCTGATTGACCACACCAGAGGAGATGAAGGTATTATTAACTGGTATCAGGTCTTTCCTAATGTAGGATTTCCTCAAAAACTCATATTCCTCTTCTTCAAGAGCACAAAGCAGCTTGCAAAGAGTAAAATTACAATATTTCATGAATTATTCAGACTATATACCATCATGTGTCCCGTCCCCCCAAGAAAAGTCAGTGTGATGGACTGCACTTTTTAAGAGTCTTAGAGGTGCTGTACCAACAACTAAAAGACTATGAAGAGTTAATTCTTCACAGAGCTAGAGAGCCTTGAATGACAAGCTGTTCCAGGCAATCTTTATTTATTTTTAGCCCCCCAAAGGGGATTTTTAATTGCATTTTCTACCAACTACAAAGAAACAAGGAAAGGTATCTACAAACTACAGGTGAAAGTAAAGAAAACCACTAAAAACCCAAGGTGGGGTGGTCATACACAATGCTTACAAGATTAGCCTTTTAGGCAATTAAAGTTAACGTTGAAGGTGCCCACAGAACATATCCCTTATAATATCACTCAGCAAATCAGACTATTCAAAGAGACATACAAGTGCATAATTAAATTCTGCTTGTACAAACATCAGGAAACATTAGCATCTCATTTTTTTAACAGCCACCCCCCAACTTAAAGCTGAATCTTCTTCAGTAGATGTAATTGTTGTTTCATCTTCTTCCCTTGTTGCCATCTTCTTCCTCTCTCTCTTCTTCTCCTATTGGTCCAATTGTTGCAACAAAAGCTAGCCAACCTTTAAAACAGAGTCCATTTTGTCAATTGTAACGATAATTATTGCTTTAATTATTTCCTGGAGAGTCCATCCCCAGTCTTACTGGGCAGGTTTACTTCTTTATGTGTTCTGGATATATATCCATTTGCTATTATAAGTCCCGCTAAGATGCATCAGTCTCTGGTCTTCATGTCGCTTCCCTTTCCAAATTGAAGTCCATGTTGATTCTCAAATATTAACTGTTCTTTAAAAACATCTTTTGTGTACCAGTAGGGGTCGCCATACCAGTTGAGGATTTGGAAGAGTCTATGGTTACCAGGTCAGCTGACCTGATCAGCTAGTCTCCCACTTCCTGAAGAAGGCTGAGGCTTTGTTTTAATCTTTGTCTCCATATTCGTTGCTCTTTTTGGGGATGTTTATTTTATTTTTAAAAGCTGCAAAAGTCCTGAACGTTTGCTTATTCGCTTGGGCGCATCTTGAAGTCTCTCTAACATAGTCCATTAGTGCTTTTAGCTCCGTCTCCCCCAGGGAATGCTTTGAATTCTTTTCATTGTCTGGGAGGGGAGTTCCCTTCCCCCCCCCCACTTAGTATGGGGGGACTTCAAGCCTTCGCTCTGGTGATTCATTTCGACTTTACTCACCCTTCGAATGTAGATCTGAAAGATCTCATTGACAGGTACGCTTTCCGCTCAACCTCCACTCACTTGATTCGGTGTGCGTAGCTAAGTCCAATACTGGCACACAGTGGAGAGACTGTCTGGGCAAAGGGATGCCTCAATCTGCCGGCAACATGCCAGGGGACAGGCGACCCTCAGCACCCCATGGCTAGGGACCCATCGCAAGGGGCCCTGGAGGATGCGTACATTTGCACCCCCTCTCTAACCACTGGTTTGTGATCCACGTCCCCGGGAGCTCCCGGGAGACACGACCACCATTAGCCCACCAAAAACGAAAGTCCTGTTCCAGGCAATCTGATTGGTTGGCATCAGCTGAGCAGACACAGTCTTGAGACAGGTGGATGCTGAGGAAAAAGTTAGCCAGATTCCTGCCTTTACTGTGAAGAGACACATACTGAGACCATTTACAAATAGGGTTTAGTGCTAACAGATTCAGAGTTCTACCTTGACTGAATGCAGTTTGAATTCAGCATTAGCTGAGAGCAGTTTGAACACAGACAGGAGTACTGGGGGGAGAATTGGGCAAGGAAGTGAGTAGTAGAGAGGACTCCCATTCAGGCCAAAGGAAAGGGGACAGATCTTCTAGGGAAAGAAGAAGATTCTCCACCCAAACAGGGAGACTTATCTCTGAGGAGTACAGAGATCCCTGGTCTGGTGTAATTAGGAACTGAGTGTAAAAGCTTTAAAAGTCAATTAAACCAAGAAGAGTATTGGTGTTCCAAAGAGAAGGGGTATGGGTACTGGAAAGAAGGTACCAGCCTTCTGGGCACCAAAAAGAGTGATTATACAAATAAAGTGAATTAGAGTGTTTGGGGAAACACTGGAACAAAAGCCTCTCAACATAAAGATCTAAGTAACTGTGAATAATTTAAGAACCTCTCATTAGCCTGATATATAAGAACAAAAGTCTGTGCTTGTAACAGTTTTATGTCACTAATTTCAACTCCTGATTTCATCTGACCTTTCCCTTTGATGTTGAAACAAATCCTTTTGTTATTCTTGAATTTTAAAAGCGTCTCAAGTGCCATTTTCAAGGGTTTAAGTTAAAGGGCAGTCTTATCCCTTCCCTCAAGTTTCTGGGCTGAGCTAATAGCCAAAATATACCTTACTGACAGGGTAGGACAGACAAGATTTCTTCAAGGGAAAAATAAACATGTTACCAGGGCTGCTTAGTCAGAGAAGGGAAATAGAAATGGAGGGAAAATCTTGCCTCTGAGCGAGGGAAGTGGATGGGGTCTATTATACTCAGCATCTAAAGATACTAGGGACTGGTCACACACCATAAGCCCAATGGGAAAACTCTATAATCACACATCTTGGCTGGAGTTTCCTACGACTTGATGGAAGAGGATGGCTTTCCGTGATTTCCTATATCTTAGGAGAGAGTGCCATACACATCTCCTCCAGCAAACTTTTCCAAAAGATCAGGTCTGCCACAGAAAAAGCTGCAGCTCATACAGAAGACTTCCTCCTGAAAGGAGGGGACCTCTAGGGGAAGATGCTGAACTGACCAAAGCTGGCGAGCAGGTGCATGTAGCGAGAGGCAGTCTGTCAAATATTTAACAAATACAAGACAGCAAAAACTGGAGGGGGCATTGGCAGCTGTGACTAACACAGAAACGCCCTTGAAACAGTCTACTGGGATGATGCCTTGAGTCTGATATTGGCTCTTCTTTTCCAGGCTGTGAAACGTTTCCTGAAACTAGAGTGCAAATGTCATGGTGTCAGTGGCTCTTGCACTCTGAGGACATGTTGGTTGGCAATGTCGGACTTTCGGCGAACAGGAGATTACCTAAGGAAAAAATACAATGGGGCCATCCAAGTCACCATGAATCAGGATGGCACTGGATTTACTGTGGCCAATAAGAATTTCCGGAAACCCACAAAAACTGACCTTGTATATTTTGAGAACTCTCCTGATTACTGCTTGATGGACAAGTCTGCAGGTAAAGAACATTTGGAAGCTTGTCTGCTTATAGTATTACACTCTTCACTTCCTACAACTGTGAGTGTGTGAAAGTCCACATGAAACCTAGCCTTTGATGTATTCCTGAGAATCTCAGGGTGGGTGGGTGGATGTAATGTCAAGTTTCCAAACTTCATGTTTTTGGGGATAATTTTGAAAACATTACAGCAATGTTTGCAAAATTAGCTTTTTTTGTTAAAGGAGGGTACTTCTATCCTCCTAATCCCTTTTTCTCCTTTCCTCATGAGTTCAGTTTACTCTAACATCTTTCTCCAATGCCTTTCTTCAGTGCCTTTCACCCCCTACTGCTTTGGAGCCGGAACAATTTGTAGTTCATTAAAACAATACCTACAGCAGTTCCCAGAAGCAATGATCATGAACTACACAGGTTAATTGCAACTTGCAGATATCTATAGTAGTATCTCTTGAAGTTAAGTGTTTGTTGATAGGCCAGAATTTGCTCATTGTGGAAGAGACTCCATTGTTCAGCTTGACGCTACTCATGCATAACGTTTCCCTATTTGTAACTGTGTCTCAGTGGATGGTATAGCAGACTGTCCAGTGCAAAATGAAACAACTTTCCTTCTCCTTTGACAGGTTCATTAGGGACAGCAGGGAGAGTGTGCAACAAGGCATCACGTGGAACTGATGGGTGTGAGGTCATGTGCTGTGGCCGAGGTTACGACACCACCCGAGTGACGCGAGTTACCAAATGTGAGTGCAAATTCCACTGGTGCTGTGCTGTCCGCTGCAAGGAATGTGAGGACACCGTGGACATTCACACATGCAAAGCACCGAAACGGGCAGAGTGGGTAGACCAAACTTGAGACTGTATGGAATGAAGCCAGAGAGGGAAAAGAAAAACTGGCATAGCGCCACCCACAGCCCTGGGCATTCTGGGAGTTGTAGTTCAACTGCATGGCTTTTATTTAATTAATTCTCCAAAGCACTAAAACGAGAAGACTACATTTCCCAGAGAGGGGAAACAACGAGTTCTTCACCAGCAAAACTCATCCCCTATGTTAAAAAAGGAAATTTGCAAATTACATTGAACTGTGAAGTTTCCTACATCTGGTGATATTCTGTATTTAAAAAGGAGGGAGAATGCATAGGAGGCTCTGGAGACCAAGAATCAGGCTGCAATTAGCTGGAAAACCTGACCTCTACCTAAAGCCAGTAAATTATAAGAATAGTAAAATGCAGGAGAGAGAAAAATGTCTATGAACCCTGGAAGAAAGCATTCTTTTCCCCAAAGGAAGATAGCTAAGGAGACTCTGATGCTCTGCTAAGGTCTTCTCTCGAACAAAGGCCACACATGCCTGCACTATGGACAACAGCTGAACACAAGCATGTTGTGTAAAATGACTGTTAATTTTCCTCCTCCTCTGGAAGTGGAATTACAAGTTATCTGCTAAAAGGAAAAGAAAGGTATCTACATAGAGAGAGGGAGAGAAAGTGCACATGTGTGCCTGGACGTACTGGTAGGTTCTCAAAGGAAACTAATATAACGGTGACTGTTTTGTACAAATTCAATTGTACATTTTGTATACTGCTTTAAATACTTTAAATCAAAAACCTATATAAACCTGTATCATCAACAAAGATGTTCTCTGCTTCGTGACTTCCCTACATTCAGGACTGGTTAGGTGACAAGTCCTTACTTGCTTTATTGGTACACTTTAGTTCAGTCAGAAGAAGGATCTTAAGGCTGAAGGGAGCATGCCATCCTAAATGGCCAAATAGCACAAGACAGATGTCATTTTGTTTTCATACACACACACCACAATCCCAGCTTCTCTTGCATTTCTGACACTTCTTCCCTGGCCAATATTTCATCTCTTTTCATGCCTGATATGCAGACACAGAGATACTTTGGACTTCTGCAGAGATTGAACACTCCTCCAACCACCGGCATGTATCTATTCAACCATTCTCTCTTTACAGGCTCCTTTCAGGGAAGGGGGGGGGGGGGGGGAATCCCTGATCCTCCACACAAAGAGTAGACACGATCACAGAAGTCATCTTCATCAGTTCGTGTTCACCTTAATGAATAATTTTGCTGAGCTCATACCCACACACTCGCAGTGTAGCACTGTCCCTGCTTTCAGAGCTGTAACAAGGGCAAGGCAAGTGAGGCATTTGCCTCAGGCACACAAACCTGACGGGCACAGAAAAAGCATATCGTGACTAAACGTTGTGATTACTAATCTTGTCAATTATGCATTTACCTTTTTAGCAAAATAGCTACTATGAAAGTATAGGGGGTGCAATTTTATGTTCTTGTTTCAGGCACAAAATTAGCTAGTTATGGCTCTGCCTGCTTCTATCATCAGACATCTGCTGAACAAAGCCCTGTAGATCCTTCAGATAGACTTTCTGAAGGTCTCCTTCCATTTCATCCAACATACATGGAGGTTCATGCACAACAGTGTGGGTTTGTGCATGTGCAAAAGTGGCATCACTTTTAAAATATTGGGTATAAAATGTCCTTCGGTACAAACTAACCCAGGCATCAGCCACAGCATCTCAGTTTAATGATGACTATACAGTCTCTAACTGGTTTTCCCCAGGTCCTTAGTACAAAGCAATGAGAGTTAAATTGGCTTAGGGGTCATAGTGGTGATATAACCTGAGTGAACTCAGTGAAGCCAACAAATCAGTCGAAATCATGTTCACAACACAGGGTTGCACCAGTTTTATTTAACATACTTTCATTAAATCAGTATAGATATTGAAATGATGCAGCTGCACATTCCTTAGCAGCTACAATCTGCATGTAGCCTCCAAGTTCACTATTAGTAAATAGCTGTGTAACACATCTCTGACCAGCCAGAACCCAACAGTGGTCCTTTCCATACTAGACCTTAAATCCTGGTTCAGCCCTGTCCCCAAACTTACATTCTACACTACACATGAGTTCACCCCTGTAGTAATCTCAGGGTATTTTTACATTCTACACTACACTCGAGTTCACCCCTGTAATTATCTTGGGGTATTTTTCATTTCCACATTACATTGAGGTCACCTCGATTTCGCCCCCCACTTGTCCCGGGATTAACGGATGTTGTGTATAACCAGGGATAAATGCAAGGTACTGTGTGCCAAGTTGAACTCTGATAAAACCAGGGATGAGATCCAAGTGCAGAAAGGTCCAACAGCATCCGTTTACCCCAGGACTCGAATGTAGTGTAGAATGTAAGTTCGGGGTCAGGGTTGAACCAAGGTCTAGTGCGGAATCACCAGTATCACATTAACAGCCTCATCCTATACCTGTGGCCTCAGGAGTAAGTCTCAGTAAGTTCAGTGGGACCGACTCACAAGTAAGCACTCATAGGATTGCTGCCTGTATAACTTTTCTTTCTGTTACTATTAATGATTGCTACACACATGTTTTTTAAGGCTGGAAGTGCCTGATACTTCTCAAGAGGATTAGACGGTGAGCTTTATGACAGAGATTTAAACTGACAGCACCCATTCTCAAACCCAACATTTTATCTACTGTACCACATTGGCCTTTTTCTCTCTGAATGATTCTTAGCTTTCCAAATGCAGAAACGGAGAGAGGTTGTGGCCTTATGAAGCAGACAGAGGCCCAAATGCAGAAACGGAGAGAGGTTGTGGCCTTATGAAGCAGACAGAGGCCCTTCAGAATCCAGACAACACAGAAGTCATTGCCACTTATCATTGGACTGTCATACAGAACAACACTGGGTTGGAGCCCAAACATAACACCTTCCATCAGTGGAAGAACTCCTTGCATTTGTGGAAATGCACCTTTTGGGTCCAATCCCATTGCTTAGATCCAACCCAACATATTGTCTAACATTTAAGGGAATCTCTCACCCTTGAAATCAGGCCAATGCTTTCTGTTCTGTGGCAAACTCCCAATTTTTTACTGAGTCATTGCACCATCCAAATTTAATAGGGCTTTCCTAACTCCTGGAAGATTACACAAAAATAGGTGAAGGTATTGAAATATAAAACAGAGCACCATTAAGAAGTCTTACAGCTGCTCAAAACCCAGTTTCTCACTGTTCAGACATATAGAAAGTAAGAGAAATTTGTGATAAGCTCTTGCCAGCTGGTAGTGATTTAATTGCCAATCTGAAAGTTCAGGTACATAAAGCAGTCTTCATAAATTGCACTCACAACTCCAGAAACCTTTTTAAAAATGACTAAATAAAACTGGATCATCATTAAGATCTTCCCTTATTAAATGTTATACTGAAAGGCCGCCAAGCCTATTGTGTGCTTGAACTTTTATGTTCGTAAGGATGGGCTATGTCTAAGAAATACTGAGAACAAATGACACACGGCTTTCACTTTGTCTGGTTAGGAAGAAAACACAGACCTGGGAACCTGGTTCTCTGCTTCCATGGCAACAAGCAGCTCAACTTTGAAACTTTTCCACCTGCACAAGAAGGTCACCTCTCACATTCTTTGCAGTGTTGTATTGGCACAGTTTGCTACTGGCCTGCACAAGCTTTGATGAGAGAGCTATTCAGCATCAAGCAATGGGAACAGCAGGGAGCTGAGCCGAAAAGAACATTTGGGGGGGGGGGAGCCACTGGGGTGTCCAGTTTTGCATTTGCAAATTCAAATACATTTCCCCCATTTGTTTCAACTCTGGTGGAGAACAAAACAGTATCATCTTAAAACACCTTTGTATTTGTTGCTATTGGTGTCCTGTATTTCTGCATTCCATTTTGACTCTAGAAATCCTTCTCTTCCTTCAGTTGGTGTCTCTGTCTTCTTCTTGGCCTACTTACACAGAATAATACACAGAACGTTTACTTAGCACTTTAGAGTATTCAAAGCATTTCACATATATTATCTCAGTAGTCCCTCCAAGCTAGGTCAGTATTATTATCCCCGAATTGCCAATAAGGGATTGAGTCTGAGAGATAGACAGTTTGCCTACAAAGAGTTTCAGGGAAGAGGCAATATTTGAACCGCAGGCTTCTTGGTTCTCAGCTCATCCTCTGCACATCTCTTTTTATTTAAAGTAAAGGGAGGAAAGCAAATTTTCAACAGACTATTTTCACACTGAAGCCACAAATCAAAAATCTAATTAAGCTTGAACTGGTATTCTAAAACTGAAAAAAGCAGTGAAAAATATTTATGTCAATGTTAAATTTAAGCTTCCAAAAATTAATAAATGGGCACCACATATTTACAATTTTTGTCTGTGTTTTGTCTCTTCACTTCATAAATCCTATAAAATTTGATTTTGGGGGGAAATATACCAAACTTTAGAAGTCTGCTCTCATTCCTTTATGCTTAATGCACACAAAAATTACCACCATCATAATCATCATTATTATTGTTTTGATTTTAGCAGTGGTCACAAATGAGAAGTTGGGAAATAATGAGCTTTTCATATTGTTATCCAAAAATCCTGACAAAATAACAGAGCATCTAAAGGTAATGCACAGGGTGTCATTTGCTTAATTTCTTTCAGAGCCCAGTATTTCTTAAAGCATATGAGTATTATAAAATGAAGCTTCTTATACTAGGTTGTGCCCAATGCTCTACTTCAATAAGAATATTTGCCTAGGATTGCCCCAATTGTCTGGAGAAAAAAATGTCCTCTCCTTTGGTTTAATGGATATTAATTACCAAATGATGTTTTTTACCTCCATTCCACTAAAAGCTTTAGCTGCCCATTTCTACACATTAAGCCTCTGAATAAAGAAATAGGTCAGTTTTCTACATGCCTATTGGTAACCCTACATGGAAAATGATGCTGCATCAGGATCTTCTACTGCTTCAAGTCAAGCCTCGCTACAAGATTCAGGCAGAATCTGTAGGTCAGATATAAATTCATTAAGTGTTGGAATGGAAGGTGTTAAAATATTCCATCTGAGGTGTTGTCCTTTAACTAGATAATTATTTGTCAA